GTGTTATTGTTACCCCGCCAGTTTTAGCACCATACATTGGCGCGAAATGGGGGGCATTTTCTCACATGCGCCGAAACTTTCGGGACTCGGGCTCCGAAGCAACAAGGCTGGCGGCGTCAGCAAAAACGGGGCCGCGTTGGTTCGTTTTTCCCTGGCATGCAGGCCACTCACTCCGAGGGCTGGACGAAAGCGCCTCAGAAGTGCTGGCGGTTTAAACCCGTCCAGCTTGCAGCGCAGAAGTTGGATTTCCTACCTAAGGGCACTCACTGTATGTGGACAAGTCCTGCCAGAATGAGTTTCGCACGATATGCACACAAAGCTAGCATCCCCCCCTTTGTGGACTGGGTAGAAATGACGATCGCCCCATTCCATAGATAATCCACCGACAATAAGAGAGACGAACCCCTACGCAAGGCACCCGCCCCCTTGTGTCAGCTGGCTGCTTAAAACTCAAGATTAGAGTGTGAAGGAGGGGGGGGAAGACGCCAGTCATTTGATAGAGAAATGAAGGATGATGCGCGAGGTGGTTAACCGGCCATGAATGTAAATACACATGATTCAATGTCACCTATTTTTTTTTTTTTTCTTTTCTTTTTCAGCAATATATTTGGCTCTCCACACTCCATCCAGTTTGAACTTTGAAGGCGTCCAGACGGATGTCATGACCTTTCCCATTTGTCATTACCAACCAGGACACCCAACAGCAAAGTGTGATTCAATGTCACCCAGACGGTTTCGTAGGACTTTCACAGACTCATCAGGAGGTCGAACCCATATAAAGGGCTTTCAGATACTGAATGCCAAAGTGCCAAACCCAACGCTGCTTGCACAGAAAGTGACGAGTCGTTGCAATAAAACCCAGGGTAGTCACGTAAATAGAAACAGTGATGCCGAACGAGTGCCAATAAAACCTATGGTAGTTACGTAAATAGAAACTGTGATGCCGAACGAGTGCCAGCCTGAAGTGCAATGGGAATCCTATTACCTAAATGCTGGACGTTAAGTTAAATGAGAGATTAATAGCATGCAATGCAGCGAGATCCGAACCAGCCTGTCCCCCGAACCTGTGCATTTAGCCAATCCCGACTTGCCAAACCTCGATAACCGTTGGACCAAAGCCCTTGCGGTCACACTCTGCTATCCGACAGCAGCAGTAGCTGCCCACAGTTGTGTTTTGTAGCTGTTGCCCAGGACCGCCTACCTCCTGGCTGCTCCCATACCACCTCTCCACACTGTACAGGCAGGCGATGGCGATAGAGCGAGTTCAAACTCCTGCCTAGCGGCATCAGGAATAGTGAGAGCCCTAACTTGTGCCTAGAGTCAGGCATCAGGGTGACATTAATCCGAGCGATGTTTTCCCTGGAGTTTGTCAAACCTGCCTCCCCTGGTTACAATCTTGTACTTGGCCTTTCCTGCGGAAATGCAGACTTTCTGCCAAAAAACTTCGGGTTAGTTAATTCTGGGCCTCTCCTCCGCACCACTCCGTGACACCAAGGAAGTGCAAAATGAGAATGAATCTTCCACTAAAACATGGCGAGTAATGTCACCCATAATTTTTGTCTCTTCTGCATTTCCTGACTGGTGTGGCGAGGCCTGCTATCTACCGTCTGCCAAAGAGGCAGAGCAGCCGTGCCACCATCCACGTTGGTCTTTGGACTTGTTTCGCTTCAACCCACCCGTAGCTAACACTCTTCTGTGGCATCTCTGACATTCTTTCCTCTTCTGTCATCCTTGCGCAGCGACCATGCCAACCACCTGTATCTCACACCCTTATGTGGCAGCTCTGACATTCTTTCCTTTTCAGTCATCCTTGCGAAGCGACCATGCCAATCATCTCTATATCGTTCCAATTCTGACGGGCGTTCCGAGCAACTTCTCTGACAGTTCTTCTGACAGTTCTTCTGACAATTTTTCAGTTATGATACTTACGATATACGATACTTATAATTTTAAAATGAATCTAATCACACACACAGTGGGCCCGTAGTATTCATTGACAACACATTGCTCGGATATTGGTGGTTGCAACAGCTCCTGTTTAACCGTCGAAGCCCACGCCTACGGGCTATAGCCGCTATACCCATTAAGGTCGAAGTCCATTTTTTTTTATGTGCACGACTGCACGTTAGATTCATAGCATCAATCAGCATCCCATATCTTTTGGTTACTCGTACTCTTCAGCTGCATCGATCTAGATATGGACTATTATTATATTATGGAGGCTTTTGCGGCTCGTTGCATAACACGGTTGAAGCCTGACCCTGACCCTCTCTCTGTACACTCTTACAAAATCTGGCATCTTTGACACTGTATGCTAATCTGCATCGAACGGTTCACAGACATCCTCGTACTGCAATACCCAAAAAGTTGCAACAACACTTTTTGGTTCCAAACCTGGACCTCACTCCACAGGACACGGCAGCTAACCTCCCTTCCCTTTAATCTCTCTCTCTCTCTCTCTCTCTCTCTCTCTCTCTCTCTCTCTCTCTCTCTCTCTGTGGTTGAGATTCTCTCTTCTATTGTACGTATATATGCATCATTTGAACGCTGCAGTGACCTATGGAGTCTGCTGCAATATTGGTCCTACTCATTCCTCGTCGTCATACTTGTTGTTTCGTTTGGGTCCGCCGCAAATTTTGCTTCACGACTCTAACTTGTACCCGTTAGTGTTCTGACGGCACATCGGGAGTTCGATCGTCGTGTCAAATTTAATCAGTTTCATGCAACTTGCATTTTCTGTGGCTACCCTGCTCATCTGACGTAGGCAGTGTACGTTTGGATCAGCAAAACTTGCTGTCAAATTTCTGAAATGACACTGTGAGGCACAAAACCTCTCTTCTTTTTGTTCCCTTGCAGGGCGGGGATGTGGATGTCCGTAAGAGAGGCTGGACGCACCGTGTTCAGCCCGCCATGTCAGCACCACAATGGACTCACCACCCAACAGAGGGAAACTCAATGCAACCTCAACCCCACACCACACCCCGGGCAGGTATTGACTGAGACCCGTTCTTCTTTATCGACAGAACGTCTTCCGTCTTTTTACTTTTCACAAACAGGACAATGTAATCGCTACAACCTTCTGTTAAAATTAACATCCAATCCTCCGGGACATCCATAAAAATTGGAACGATATCGAGAAGATTAGCACCAAAAAAAAAAAGAAATCCATTCTGGGCCTCGCTGCGCTACTCTCCAGAGTCTGCACACATGCACAAGAAACAAAAAAAAAAATGCCGTTGTATCTTTCTATGGTATAGTGGAAGATTCATTCACATTTTGCTCATCTAGTGCGCAGTGGAGCGAGGCCCACCCGGCTGCGCACAAACTAGGGGAAGCCAACCTAACACAGGGCTGTTGTTCTGTAGACAGGTTCGAACTCTAGTTGGCTTAAAAAGAATTTACAATCAAATCCCCCACCCAAATACCCAAATACCCAACTACAGACGTACGTACTTGCAGTCCCAGGGCAATCAATGATGGCAGCCCTTCTGATGTATAGTGGGACGCTGGACCCACTTTCCAGCAGGTGCTGCGCCCCACCAATAGACCGGAGCACCCAGGACTCTTGCTAGGAGGGAGTGCTCGTAGCCTCGCACCACCTCTCCTAGCAAGGACACTGGTTTTCGAAAAAAACAAAGAAACAAAAACGTACTTGCAGTCCCTCCGCCACCATTGTTCCGTAGACGGGTTCGAACTCTAGTTGGCTTCAACAGAAGGCGGTCCTATGTTCTCCATGTGCCCGAGGACGCTGCTGCTCTATGCGCTTTACTGAGAACACACACCCAGAGAAGCAGGCTAATCCATTCTCACAGCAAGCCTAATAGATAGAAGAGACTAAGGTTCCGGTGGCCTTGGGGCGGCCTATCTTCCAGCTTAAAGCACCCGTACACCACACATCAGCCCGCGGGTGTCAGCACGAAACCCGCACCACTTCGAAGGCCGCCTTTTTTTTTCCAACAGCATCCCACGCAGCGCGGCCCCTCCGAGTTTTGCTTGTGCCGACAAAAACCGCAAGCAGCAAGGCTGGCACCGTGTACTTGCGGTTTAACAGCCTTTTTTCTGTTGGAGCAATCTGCCTCGGTCACCGTCCACGGCCGCTGCTAACTTCCTTAAAACTTTTTTTTTTTGTTTTGTTTCTCCATATACTTAGGAGAAGTTAGGACTCATTTGCAACAAACTAACTTGGTCTGTGAGCTCATGGACAAGAAGATCGAAACTCTCACCGACCCCGCGACAAGATCAAAACTGTCACCGACCCCGCGACAAGATCGACACTGTCATCGACCCCGCGACAAAAGTGTTACAATCTCATACATGCCCCCCAGGTGGTGTGTCAGGGTTCGAACTCAACACCATGAGGTGTCGGAGTTCGAACTCGGACTGCGACAAGTGCAGCAACGCAGAACGCTCAAACCACCAGACCGCCACACTCCGCTGTTCTGCACTTATGCTCACCATCCTCCCCTTCCGAGAGGAGTCGAACGGAATCGAGAAGAGGGAAAAAGGGCGCCGTAAGCCCGCTCCCATAGGTCATAAGCTCTCAATAACAGAGTGGAAAGGACATGTTCAGAAGGAAAGAAAGGCTAACCACAGTTGATGATCTGCTGCACAGCTGTACGCCGCCGACGAAGCAAGTAAGCAGCTGCATGCACAACCAAACCGATGGACCAATTTTACAGTAAAATGTTGCTTTCAAATAAGTTGAAATAACTCGACCAATAAGATTTATTATGTGATGACGACAAACCATTGGTTCCTTTCGCAATCTTTTTCTTTTTTATCTTTTCCTCTTTTTCTTCATTGGCTCCTTTTGCGATCTTGCTGGCGGACAGCAGAGGTGATCTAACTGCTTGTGCTGCGTGCACAGACAACCAATTGACTGATTGCAAAAAAAGTTGTTGTTGTTTTTTATCGGTTTTTTTTTTTTTTTTTTTTAATTAAATACCCATATTGAATTTTAGGTGCTCAGATCTGTGTTATATAAGCTAATGATGCCTTAGGGCTGGGTGCAGATTTTATTTATTCATTGATTTATTTATTTATTTTTACCCATATTGGATCTGACGAGTCGGGGGGCGTTGGAAGCCAGATATGTGTGGTATAAGCCAATGCCTTTGCCAATAGGACTGGGTGCAGATAACTCAAGAAAAACGCTTGTGCGATGAAGAAAAATCACTGTTTTTTTTTTGTTGTTGTTTTTCGCACGCTTACACATGGCCTCAGCAGTCGTTTACTGCTTGCGTAGTGATGTAGCCGCACCACTAAAGATCAAACAACGCAGCTATATTTATTAGTTATTAGCGTCTGGCTTTGCTCTTTGCCTTCAAGGCCGCGGACGCCTTTGCCGCCTCCTCTTCTTCAGCCTTCTGTTGCGCCTCTAGTTTCTCCAACTCATCGAGAACAGGCCTCAATTCCTTGTACCGTGCCTCCGCCAACTCGAAACCATCTCTTCTCAATTCTTTGCCCATGCGTTGAGTCTGATCGTATGCTTGCAGCTGCCAATACTTCGCGGTTCGGATAAAGAACTCTCGCAGAGTTTCGCCCGCCTGTGGAGTTCTTTCAATATCCCCAAGCCCAAGCTCAGCCCTCAACCGTTCAATCTCCTTCACCCGCTCCTTCCTTGCCATACCACCGCCAATCACCCGCAAAGTTGCTGCTGCAGATTCTGCAGCTGTGAGCGGAGTATCGTTCGCCGCGGATTCACTTCTGCTGATGCCGACCTCCTCACCATCTTCTTCCTCCGATTCCTCGTTGTCGCTTCTTCCCTCGTCATCCTCGTCTTCATCGTCCTCGTCATCGCTGGGTTCTAACCATTCTGGCTTCGTTCCCTCTATCACGCAATTCCATTCGTCCAGCTTATTCAGATCAAGCGAATACAGGTCATCCAGAGTCACCTCCCTCTCCCCTACCTCCATCACCCCACCATACAGTAGCAGCGTGTTCGCTCTGACCACAAGAGAGGCATTTATCCTCCCGCACGGAGCCATTAGCGATGGCGATTCAGAAGCAGCAACAGTACTGGAAGTAGGGGGAGGAATGTGAGGAGCCTTCCTCTCACCTTCAACCCCCAACTCAGCGTCCTTGCCCAACTGTTGTGCTGCCGCATGGTCCCCTCCGTTGAGTCCGTTCCTATCTTCAAGACTCAGCATCTTAGACTTTCTCTCAAGCTCTGTTTCTGCAGCGTCCGCAGGCTTCACGCCTTTCGTTGAATGGTCATCATTGGTTTCTCCTTCCTCATCCATGATGTCGCTCTTTTCCTCTTCCCCCCCATTCACAGCACTTGTTCCCACCACCTCTATCTGATTGTCGTCATCATCCTCTTGTTGTTCCTCCTGCTCCTCCTGCTCCTCCTGCTCCTCCTGCTCCTGCTGCTGCTCCTCCTGCTCCTGCTGCTGCTCCTCCTCCTCCTCTTCCCATTGCCTTGCTTGCTTCCGTTGCGGTGCCGCAGGTGCTGCTTTGGCGCCACGAACCTTCGGTGCCTTCGGCTTCCGCAGGGCGAAGGGATACCATCGCCGATTGTCCATTTGAAATGCATACATGTCGTTAAGGAAGGTGCTCCTCAGGTCATCATTCTCATCTTCCACATCCACGACTCCGCCGAAAAGAATGGCCCTCTTCTTATGAACACACATCGAGAAGCCTGCTCTCGGCCCAGGCGGAGATCCCGCTTTCTTAACCTTGCTCCACTCGAAGGTACGGGGATCGAGCCTCCACATGTCGGCATGCACTACTCCCTTCGATTCTTGGTCCTTGTAATAACCTCCATACAAAAACACTTCGTCCTGGTGGACAAACATTTGAAACGCGCTGCGAGGAGAAGGCCACATCGCACCGAGCTTTGGTTGAATGTGAATCCACTTGCAGTCGTCAAGATCGAAAACATGTAAATCATTGTAGTACCTCACTTCGCGCAGGGTATCGTAAAAGCCTCCAAACAGAATGAGCTTATGCTTGTACAAAACCATCCGATGTCCCGAACGAGGGCTGGGGCAGTTCTTCAGCTGAAGCTGCTCCCAGACGTTCGATGTAAGATCCAACCGCCACAAATCCTTGTAGTGATGAAAGCGCTCCTGGTTGGGTGACGTGAATTCGCCGCCGAAAATAAAGAGGCAGTTCCTCCAAGCCACCGCTTGGTGCGCACTTCGCGGAGGGGGGCTGTTCGGGCTTGACACCAGTTTCCACTCCTGCTTGTCAATGGCATATCGATATAAATCACCATAGACGAACGTCTTGCTCCCATTATAAAACTCGCCACCGAAAACAATCACCTCCGTGTCCTTCTGCGGATTCACTGTGACCGAGCAGTTGCATCTCGGCGACGGCGCCGGGACATTCTCTTCGATATGCACCGCAACCTTCTTCTCATCCTCAGCCTTGATCTTTGCTAGAATCGCATCGATGTCATCTTCTTCATCTGCCGCCACTTTCTCTTTCTCTCGCCGAGCACGCTTCTCTGCTGCCTTGGCCGTTTTCCGCTCAGTTTTGTCTTTACCTCTCTTCGGTTTGTCCTTCTTCTTGCCCATCTTCACTCACACAGAGAGTCCCAAACTTGCAGCGGCGGGGGCAGCGTCAGCAGCAGCCGCAGAGAGAATCGAACGGTGCTGACAGTCGTCTGCACAATCAATGCGAGATAAGGACAGTCCTGAATTCCTCACAAAAGATTAAATAATAAACACACAAAAGATAAATAATGAACTACTACCTCGGAATGGAGACGCCTTCCTTTCATAGTCAACCAATACCTCGGTGCAATCGGTTACTCGTCAACTTACATCGGGGCAGTTCTTGGTACTCAATTATGACACGTCATTACCTTGTCAGGCATACAAAGTTGTTGGTGGAGTGGCCACACATGACCACAACTTGAAAGCAATACCCCTCTCCTCTTCCTTTTTTTTTTTTTTTTAATGAAAACGTCAGTCGGGGAACGACTACGATGGGCAGGGATACGAGCCCAACACACCTCTCCTCATTAAACGAGCACCATACAAAAGACTCAAACCACTGCGACCTCTCCGCATTGTGTACACAAAAACACAACCACTTGCAGATCTTAAGACACAAGCAAAAAAGAAAAAGCACCAGTCCTAGATACTTGGCCCATGTGACGGAACGGCACACACACATGTAACTGTTAGCAGAAAGATCCATCACAGAGCTCGAATCAGGGCTATCACCCGGAATCATCCACGAGCCCAGACTCATCCACCAGTGCCAGCCAGATACCTGGCGCATGTGACTGAACGAAACCAGACAAATACAATAACATCAGGGCTACCCCCTTCAAAACCTTCAAAGGCTTAAACAAACAAAAAAAAAAAAACAAAAAAAAAACAGAGGCTACTAAACTACCCAATTTGAAGGACGGCGCATACCTTTGTATTGTGGCCCGATGGATCGCGGATCACATATTAAACTGACCGGTAGAGATAAAACACTACATCTACTTTTAGCCAAATGGCCAAAAAGGTGTTGATGTCTGAACTTATTTCAGCAAATTTGAGCTCACGACGATGATATCCACCCCCCTCGTAGCATTCACTGGCCTGTTTTGGCCCATCGTTCGAGTCCACGCTCTTTTTTGGCCCATCGTTCGAGTCCACGCTCTTTTTTTCTTCTTTTTTCTCTTTTTTTCCACAACCTCTTAACCTATGAAAAGTGATTTGACACCATCAAAGGAAGTATGTTCGTCGAATCTTATGAAGTACCAGACAGGGGTGGATGCCAGATATTGACAGCATGCAAACAGGAAGACTTATGCCCTTCCACCTCTCATTGTCGATGGATGGAGACCTTATTCTCTATGGCGACCTGAATATCGGAACTATTATCTCCTCCACCTCCTCCCTGTCTTCTTCTCCCACCTCCTCCTCCTCCTCCTCCTTTGTCTGAATTTAGATCATTGCAAAAATCACCACCCTTGCACCTTGGCAAGCAAGGGTGTGACAGCGCCATGATGCACTTATTCGTCTTGTCTTGTCTGTACCGCATGATGCATTTATTCGTCTTGTCTGCACCCCATGATGCACCTATTTGTCTCGTCTGTACCTCGCTGTGAAGAAACGGGTATAGAGAACAGACTACTCCCACCACAATAAGCCATGAAGTGGCCTGCGTGCAACCCCCTGCAAAAACCTGGCCTTGGTAATGGGATGGGGTGTGCTACACCATTTATAATCAGTCGGTGACTCAAGCGACCCCTCCGTCGGCCTGGTCGAATTCGCAGTGACTCGGAGTTCATCCCTCTTCCCCACCAATTTACAGTCGGTGGACTGATTGGATCGATCGATTCCATCTTTCTTCAGAGAATCCATCATAAAGCTCTTGAAACATTACACATCACGACCTGCCGTAACGACAGGTCATGCTTCGGTTTTTGTTTTCCTGAGTTAATCCAAGCGGAAAATAGAATAGCGGGACCTGCCGTAAAGACAGGTCGTACTTTGCTTTTTTCCTTCTCCTTCTATTCGACTGAGGAAAGTAGAATAGGGGTGGAAAACCCCACTTCAATGCTTCGGAGTCCGTAAGATAGCAGTCCTAGATTTTTTTTTCTCTTCTCTTTTCCCACCTTGTGTGTGTGTGTGTGTGTGTGTGTGTGTGTGTGTGTGTGTGTGTGTGTGTGTGTGTGTGTGTGTGTGTGCATGTGCGTGTTAATAAAGGGTCGGCTTGAGGTACCACTAAAGAGCTGACCAGCCCCCAAGTGTTTCATTCATTGAATGATCCAATTAGGGGCCAAACTCGGGTCTATATATCAACATCCCATGTGGGTAGCAGTCCAACTCCGCTTGGTCCCACGTTTCAAAATTTGTAGAATTGAGTAATCGATACTACTTCTGTTTTCGGGGCTCTCTCTCTCTCTCTCTCTCTCTCTCTCTCTCTCTCTCTCTCTCTCTCTCTCTCTCTCTCTCTCTCTCTCTCTCTCTCTCTCTCTTCTCCTATTTGTAATTTTGTACTCATTTGTACAGTAAGGACCATTACTTCCCAGTGTTTCCACTTTCCCCGATTCCATATCACTGCGTGCCTTTAACCTTCCTTGCTCTTTTTTCATTCTTTCTCGTCTTCCTTCGAATTGCATTCTCTTCTTTGTCTCTCTGTTCCTCCAACTTTGCCAGTCAGAAAACACGAGACCACTTTGATTTTTAGGATTAAAATTTCAAAATTCAAAAAATACACAGCAGAGCGATGAGAAAATCAGGGTTCCCAACGGCGGGCCGCGGGAAGGAAAGAGTTCAGAAAAACCAACATGGCTTATTGTGGGAGTAGTCTGTTCTCACATTCGTTGCGAAGAAGCTCAATCCTATATCATGTAGATTATTAACTTCCATACCTCTGTAAAGGTCTTGCGATCCAAAACCGAAACATAACGGAGAAAGTTCAGTCCTACAACAGCAATTCCTGCAGCAAACTTGCAGGAAAAAAAAAAAGATACGGTTCAGTCCTGCAAATGCAATTTCCGCAGGAAAAAAAAAAAAAAAAAAAAAAAAAAAAAAAAAAAAGATAGGTAAGATCCTGCAAATGCTATTCCTGCAGCGAAGTTCTGTCGAGAATAAATCACAGCTTCCGAAAAAATCAGTGAGATGAGAACGGAACGAGACACAGAAAGTGCATAAACAGTGTTTGGAATCTGCCAATCCTTGTGTGTGTGTGTGGGTGGGTGGGTGGGTGGGTGTGTGGGTGTGTGGGTGTGTGGCTGTGTGTGTGTGTGTGTGTGTGTGTGTGTGTGTGTGAGAGAGAGAGAGAGAGAGAGAGAGAAGTTGGCCAGAAAGACAAAGATTGAAAAAAGAACCAAAGAAAGAAGAAATTTTGCACATCATTATCATATCAAATGTTTCCTAAGAGCCCCACAAACACGCATCCTGCTGCACAGCAGCGTGCACAGTGAAGACGTACATACTTGTGAGTGTGTCCATGTCAGTGCACATGTGCTAGTTTGTGTGTGTCTGCAAGTGTTAGTATGTGTGACAGAGACAGACAGACAGACCGACACGGTTGCCAGTGATGAATTACAACGAACAAAGTTTACAACCTTTCTTTTTCCGCTTTGCGAACAAAGAATGAATCAATCAAGCGCGCCGTGCACGCTAGAGGAGAAAAAGATCAAGAAAATTTCCAGTGTCATTCAAGTACGATGCATTGCGGCCCCCTTTCTGCTCCATGTCCTTAGTCAACATCCGAGCCCACTTCTCAAGGACGATAGCCCTGTAATATACCCAAATGTAGTCGCCTGTACTCTGTTATTATATATCTGTGTGTTGGTTCACAAACCCTCTGCTCTCAACTCTCCCAACCTGTCGAGGACTCCCTCGTCATCACGTTTCACACCGATTCAAGCTTCTGATGGCACTCTCCTCCGTTCTCAGGTCGAGTCTCTACCAGCTGTCAAACGACCACAGTATTCGGGATCCCCTTCCACCGACTGGTCTATACATACCCCTGCTCTGTTGGCTTGGCTGGACTGAGCTCCTCCAAATGGCTGTCTGCTGGGACCGCCACGTGGTGGTGGCTTCGTACATACAAACTTGCGCCTCCCCGCTACTGTAGACAAAGAACTTCAGTCTTCTACACTATCCTGCCCCACTCTCAAATGCAAATGTTTTTCTCTCCTCGCAAACTCCGTCATTACGTGTCCACTGTTTGTGACACCAACCTTTCCCTTGACATCATCGGGCGACTTGAAAATACTCTCCTTCTTCCTACCAGTGAAGAAACCGACCCGCCTTTGCTTTCCTCTCGCACTTTGGAACTGCTGCCATGCATTTTGGCGCTGATTTTGCGTGACCTCCAGTCTCTCCAAGCGCACTTTCGACTTGAACGCATGTTGCTTCCTTCGCTTCGCAGCTTTGACGTCTTCACTGTCGTCGGGATGTATCCTTAGCTTTGCAGGTAAGCTGCGCGGCATGTCGTCCACCATAGCTGCCGCAGCCTCCACCTTTCTTTTCAGCGCTTGCCGGCCGGCCTCGGCTTCTTTCTCTGCCCATGCCATGCTGTCAATATCGTCATCTGCATCCTCGACCTCTTGCTGTGCGCCCGACACGTTTTCCGCAATCGGAATACGCGATTTCACGTTCGCAAACGGAACTTCTTCACTGTTGCCGAACTCTTCGTACACCACACTATACCCAGTGGCTGTTACGGATTCGATCCTCGCGTCGTACCACTCACCATCTTCGCTCCAAACAGCCTTCACCGCAGTGCCAGGGGGTAACCATCCCGGGACGGCACTAGGTCCAGTGGAGGGCATCGCCACCGCAGCAGACTCCGCCTGACTCAGCCTAATGCCATCCGCGCGTTCCGCTTCGCCAGGGATAAAATTCTTCGCTCCAAGCGCTGACAAGTTTTGTACCCCCTCTCCATGGCCAGGTGGCTGAGGTGGCAGTCCCGTAGCCTCTACAGCCTGGTACATTAAAGGGTCGTCGAGACTTGCTGCGGCCAGCTCCTCGGCTTTCGCACTCGCCAGCAAGTCCTCCGTCAGCTCAATCACCTCTTGGAGATCTTTCACAGCCTCCAACAGTTCTTCATTCCCCGGGTCTCCCTCCAGCAACTCGTTCGCCTGCTGTAGTTTCTTCCTGTAGTCCTCGAGATTGCTCTCTAGTTCTTGCACGCTCTCCATACCGACGTCAGAAGAAGACCTCCCCTGCACCTTAACCAGGAAGACCTCCCCTCCACCTTAACCGTTTATCGACGTTTCGTCCAATATTCTTTGGTTGTGTTCAAGAAGAACTTAATAGTCAATACGTGCTGACACTGTGGGGGGCCCTATTCTCTACACATCACTTCCAGGGAGAAAAAAATCAGAAAAAATCCAAAGACAAACAGAACGGAAGGAAAGCAACAAACAACGAACCGATATACAGCATGCAGCAGAATAAGCAAGGTCGCACGAGACTCCACAAACTCCCATTCCCTAATCTTTCCTCCAGCAACTGCTGCACAACGGTTTGCATGACGATTCATGGATTTCAAAACAAAACAAAAAAGATTCACCTGCCTGAATCCTAAAAATTGCACAGCAAAGAAAACGCCGTTCAATTGCAAGCACTAAATAGCAAAGATAAGATTCTACCTGCCCACTGCCTAGTAGTAACTACTGAGTCTCACTGCACGAAACGATGCGACCAGAACAGCACTGGTACGCAACCTTATGTTGTGATTACAAGTGTAGATTGATTTCTTTCACCTCTCACCCAAGTAGCTCGCGCGGCCACCAGCACAAGAGACCGAGCTCAGAAGGTCGTTGTTGCAATCTGAGTATGGGTCTGTGGATGGTAAGGGTCGTGGGGGAACACTGCAAGCAGGGAAAGAAGGATGGCAAAAGGAGGGTGAGGGAGATAACAGGAGACTGAGGAGAGGACTTCAGGAGTCGAGATGTGGTGGGTGGGCAGAGGAAGATCGCAAGAGTAGACAAATGAGAAGCGAGGCTCAAAAACCCACTTTAGTCTTAGGGAGATCCAAAAGAGTAGTACACACTCAGGGCGGAGGAGGTCGCCACGGGAAAAGCAGGCCGGGAGACGACGTCACGACATGGGAGAAGCGGGGCGCGAGAGGGGGGGGAGAGCGGGGAGAGGGCGGCATGACAAAAGAATCATGGAGGTAGGAGGTCGCCATGGGAAAAGCAGGCCGCGACATGGGAGAGGCGGACCGCGAGAGGGGGGGAGAGGGTGGAGAGGACGGCATGACAAAAGAAACATGTAGGTGCAGTTGAGATGGCCAAAGGGAGGAGGCCGGCCGGCGAGAGGGCGGAGGAAGGAAGGAGGGAGTGCACAGGTAGGGTGGAGAGAGGCAGCAGGAAGGGAGGAAGGAAGGACGGAGGATAGAGGGAGGAAGGCCTGCAAGTAATGTTGAAAGTTAATTCCCAAACAGATCTACAACAAAACTGTCACCTCAAAAAAAAAAAAAAAAAAAAAAAAAGAAGTCACCTGAAACAAGGTCTGATTCTCATGATTGAGTGGCATGAGCGATTACCGATTGGTTGGACGAGTAATTGAGGGAGGGAGGAGGTAGATCGGAACTCAGGAGGAGGGGATGGTGGCGGATGGGCAGGTCAAGGAAGAAACTTGGGCAGGAGTAGGGGGATGGTGGAGAATGGGCGGGTCGAGGAAGAAACTCGGGCAGGAGTAGGGCAGTGTTTGGAGTTAAGGCGGCGAATTTGGGTTGGAGATGACGGATGATGTGGGCGAGGAGGGGGATATGGCAGAGGCAGGATGGCAATGGCAGCGTGGAGGGAAGGCGGAGTAAGAGCATGTTAGACAGAGGCTGGGTGGTGCCGGGAGGTGTCAGAAAGGGGGAGCACGGGCAGGAAGATTGTGGAAGAAGGGATGGGGCCAGACAGAGGGAGGCGTGGGGGAGGAAGGTGGTCAGGCATGCTGGGTGAGGTTGGGCGTAGGGAGGGAGGGCAACACAGTGCGCGCACAAGTTGGGAGGAGGGAGGGCGGGGGATTACTCGACTAATGGCAGCAAGCGGGGAGCAGTAGGTCACGAGAGTCTACATGAGGGAGGGAGGGCTGCAAGCAGGCAGCGGCAGCATGTGCAAGTCGCGAGGAGGGAAGGCAGGCAGCTGCATGACAAAGGGCAGCAAGCTACTTGTCAAGGTCTGGTGGCGCCTAGGGCCTTGCTTCACTAAACATTTGCGCATGGCTCCACCACAGAACACGCGAAATATATCTCCCCCTTCCAGTGGTTCCAGCCCAGATACATTCCGAATGTTCTGCAGTGCAGTGGGTGGCTTTGCGCCGCGCCACTCACCAAAAAAGAGGCCAAAAACGACAAGAACTACGTGGTGTGCCAGGTGTATCTTTCTGCGTTCTAGAAGGAGATACATCCTCCACTTTGCGATCCATAGCGCAGCGAGGCCTTTAGTGCTCTTTATTTCTTCCTTTTCCCTGAGATATCATAATAGAATCCCTTGAGTTGTTCCTTTCTTTTTTTTCTGTGGTAATAATCATCATCACACTGCTCAAGTTAACTCAGCCGTCCGCATTTCACTGGTGTCAGCGCAGCCACTTGGAGAGTCGCATTGCCCGCTTTTCCAGTTGCGCTTTCTGGGACACCGTCGGTACAAAAAGTGCTGCTTATCAGACGGCCAACCGAGGGGTCACAGTTTCTGGGACACCATCGATACAAAATGTGCTGCTTATCGGACGGCTGACCGGAGGGGTAGCAACTTAGCGTTACACCTGGCTGGCGCAGTTGCAGATAGGCGGAATGCAGTCCAGACGAGTCGTGACTTAGTGCTACACCCGGATGGAGGAACTTGGAATTAGTAGATTGTGGGGGAGCAGATTCTGCATATTTGAAACACTGATAGCCGATGAACTCGAACAAGAGGAGAGAGGAAGAGACACAGATGACAGACAGTATGCACAGAATACTTGTCTGGGTGTCTCTGTATATTGATTGTTTGATCGATCGATTGATTGATTGATCGATCGAGTCTTTGATTGATCAGCTGTTAGATCCATAGCTACATTATTATGAGCTCACAGGTTTGCAGATGCCTGCTAGACAGGCCCAGACATCCCATTTGCATGGTTCAGGTGGGGAAAAAAAACTCTGAATGAGTCCTTTGGACAGAGTCCTTCGGGACATTCGTTAAACTTGGACCGGTACACAGCAGATCAGCAGCACATCCACTGCGCACTGATCACACGCACAATCCAGAAAAGGCCAAAAGAGACCCTGAAAGAAAGATACAGCATATTTCTTTACAGATTGATATGCTGAATCCTCTCCGATTTGCTGGCAAACATGCAGTTACTGCGAAAACTAAAGGCTATGAACTATAAAGTACTGTTTTTCACTCTGCAGATGGAGGTCACTGTTCTCTGTGTACAATGCGGGCCAATCGTTTGCATCTTAGCACCGACCAGACCAGCTGACTCGTTCATCATTCCAATCATGCAAATGATAGATGGATGGAAAGAAGTTCTGTATAACTATACATCCAGATGTGGAGAGAGTGCTGGCCAGACCATCCGACTCGTTTCTCATTCTGGCTAAAAAAAGATGATGCAAATGCTGAATGGAAAGAGATGCGGAGTAACCACATGCGCGGAGAGTGCAGGAAAGTGGAAGAGAGAGGAAAGGAGTGATGAGGATGGAAGGAAGAGAGAGCAAGGAGAGATTTCCCCTTGTTCAGGAGTGTGCGGAGGGAAAAGAGAGCACGGAAGCCTAGTGATGCACGTTAAACACCAGTACTTCCGAAACTTGCGGCTGCATGGGCGCCGCGACGTGATGAGATGAACGGGGGCCTGGGGCGCTGGAATAAATTCATTCAAGTGGAAACGTCATGGCAGTGTAGAGATGCACACCATGACCTCCAGCCAGAAGTACTGGTGATTTAAGAGTTCCCAACTCACACATGCGAAGGGCAACAAGCTCTTTTCTGTCTAGCTGTCTCATCAATCCATTCGTTGAAAGAGTCCCAAGTACAATCCGCTCTTTGCTGCTCATCGTCACAATCATTGAAGATGGGCAAAGCACATACAGAGGTCGTCAGGAAGATATAGCTGACATTCCACGGAAAGACGCACAAAGGAGCTCTGTGGGTCAGGATGCCCAATGCTGCCAACTGATGCCTTGTCAGAGCAGAAGTGGCATGACAGGGACAGAGCATGACAAAGGAGCTCTGGAACTTCAACTTCTAAGCTTTCAAAAGATATGTATGGCACTTAAAACTTCTTAGCTTCCAAAAGATTCAAGAGCTTCTTAGCTTTCAACAAATACAAGACATCATCATTTATTTTCCTTCGTCCGTGTATGTGTTTACTTTCTCATGCCTTGTTTTGCTTTCACCTCTTCTTGTATGTGTCCCTTTTCTAGAATGGTTCTCTTACGTTTCCTCTGAAAGGATCAGCCTTTCATTCCCATGCTGCCTGGCGGTTCCCAAAAAAGGCCAGCGAGAAACCAACAGTTGTCACGCGGAGACAACAGCATTCCTTCACCGCCTCGTGCACAGGTCTGCAAGTATCATTCCACAACCCTTCAGGGGAAACAAAGGACAGGGATTCACAAACAGGGGCAACTACATGAAGCATCGTACGAACGGATCAAGACCGATTTCTACTTCCAGTGATACCCAAAGAGCACATGGGGTAGTTTTCCACTGGGGCTCTCTCAACACAGGAGAAGAGGGGGTAATAATCTCCCCCCCCCGCCGCTTTTCGAGCCATATATTGACTGGACAAGTAGCAGCATCTCAGGAAACCATTCAGGAAACCTTTTGGATTCCCAGAAGGCACAATTACCATCCCTTTTTTTTTCTTAAAAGGGTGACCGCCTTGAGATGTCACCATCGAACTGACGGGCCCCAGGTAATTCAGAATCACTTATTTGTTCTGTTCATCTGATTGCATCTGGATTCAAGCTCAGGTCTCCATTTTTCAAACAGTTCATGGGTGTACCCACTGAGCTAGGCCCACAGTTACCACCCCATCTACTGTATGGGTGAAGTGTGAGATGGCCCATCTACATGACAGTCTGGGTTCAGAGCATGTGCCTGCTTTCGCGACAACTGGGTCGAGCACCTTTGCTAGTTCTCTCAGTCCAGCAAATCCCCAGGCTCTGACATCCAAGTAGTGCGCGGTACTGCATACTGACTTCCTACTCTCCTCCTATCTCCTTGCACCTTCCCTCTGCTTCCAACCATTTGAATCACAAGGGAGATACAATGAGCACTGGGCTATAAACAACACAGCACGTAGGCTACATTGACGCCTTCCCGACTGCCAACCAAGAACAGCACATCTTCGAGGGGGAACATAAACCCTACCAGAATGAAAGCGAGGTACAGCTAACAGGCTTGATGACGTGAAAGTTGGTTTCAAGGGGTGCAGATGCTCCCAAGGCCAACCGTATTGGAATTGACACCTTCCCTACTCGGTACCGATTCTCTCCCTATTCTTCTCCTCCCTATCTCCAACCCCTCACTGCCTTCCGATCACCCGGAGTGATGCCTCGAAAGTTGAAATCCAGTACAGCCACCACGGCAGATCGTTGCTCCACGTTCTCCCTCTTCGCTTCCGTCCTATCTCCATGCGAACATATGAGCGCTGGTAAGTACTTAGCAGTGTTCACATGTTCGCATGAAAGGCCTTGTACAACCCACACATTGGCACGCAACAGAGAGCACGGAAGGCTGGTGGGAGGACAGGGAGGACAAATGTACTCGTTCTTCATCTATTCACAAGAAGTGGGCTACGGAATTGAGTTTACTCTCTTAGAGAGAGGAGAGGGTGACAAACAGTGCTCAGAATAGAGAGAGAGAGAGAGGGGAGAGAGAGAGAGAGAGAGAGACAGACAGAGAGGCAAAACTTTGTGATACTCTCAAAGAGAGGAGAGGTGACAGACCCACAGCTGCCTCATGAAACAGGACATAACCTCCAGACCACTAAACACAGTTCCAAGAACCACCTAAACACAATACCAAGGTGCAAACCGAGCTCAGAGTGACCAACCACAATAAACAGAAACAAGCTGAAACAAATCGGTTGGCTGATCCCACTACAACCTCAAATGAACCAGTGAGCACAACCTCAATTCCATTCGAACAACTTCAAAGAGGTATAAAACCAAATCTAGTGCACTAGGTACAGAATCCCCCACGCCTGTGTGGTTGAGCGCGAAGTACCCACAGATCTGTTCCGTAAAGATCGGACTAGCAATCGCCCCAAGGTATAAAACCAAATCTAGTGCACTAGGTACAGAATCCCCCACGCCTGGGTGGTTGAGCACGAAGTACCCACAGATCTGTTCCGTAAAGATCGGACTAGCAAGCGCCCCCAGGTCGGGAGGAGGCAGTTCGTCTAGAAAACTGACAGCGCATTTACCATTTGAAAGAAACAAAACCATACGCGCCTCTACCCGCACAATCAGTAAAGGTGCCGAACAAAAAACAGCCAACAAACACATGCCGAAACCCCATGCATCAATAGTGGCATTGCCGCGTAATGCACCATGGGCTCAACCTAGGTGTGTGTCTGCGCTGCTGTGTTTCGATGTGCACAATTGTTACTGCGCATTACTTCGCCGGAAGATAGGCGCAAAGATACATGTGAGCATACGTAGGTCATCCAAACACTGCAACGACCCAATGAATTGACTGATCAATGAATTGACTGATCAACCCGACCGTGTTGATGAATCTCTTACTCAAGCCATCTATGACAGGATCGAAAATGGAAACTGGCCGATGCATCTATGACAGGGACAACTCGATCAGCAGCTCAATTCGTAATTTTACAAACACGACTTGACCAAACCAGAGTGCTGCGATCCAAACAAGTTCACCAGTACATCGTACTTGACATACAAGCACAAAGAGGGAGCACTGTATGGATTGAGAACTCCACCAAGTGCTCTGTACATTAACAACGCATCAGGCAGACAGAGAGAGAGAGAGAGAGAGAGACAGAGGAAAGACAAACGAAAACCAAAAGACGACGGCTTGCCCATCTACCATCCTCTCTCTCTCACCACGGTTCGCAACCCCAAGATCCTTCTTCTTCTTCTTCTTCTTCTTCTTCTTCTTCTTCTTCTTCTTCTTCACTTCATCATCTGCTGTGCCTGGACCCCTCCTCGTGCTGCTGCTATTCGTGCTTGGATGTTGCTTACAGACGAAGCAGACAACAAGAAAACGTTTTTCCCTCCACCAAGTCGGAAAACAACAACACCTTCATACGACACCCTTGGAATACCATCTTTCCAGTCTTCGAAAACTCCATACGGTCGCACGATAGCTGCATAGGATGCCTGGTCATCGTACACCAACCGGACATCCGTTTCCAGGTTGTCGCCATGCCCCTCAAGTAGCTGTGCTGCAGATATTGGTTTCGCAGAATTCAGCAAGTTCATGAAATGTTCAGGATATTGATCCTTCAACAAGTAGCTGAGGTCCTTCGTTGACCAGTCAATATCCTTATCATTCATCTTGATCGACTGCAAGTACTTTGCGAAATACTGTCCATGGCTGGAACCCTGTTCTCCAAAGTTGTATGTCCGGCACACCTCCGGGCGGATAGATTGCCTACCCTTCCGGTTCTGCGGTGACCTTAACCAATCATCCCAGTAAGCTGCAGGCCATTTTGGCCTAAGCTCCTCCCACAGTTGCCGATTCATCATCCACCCAAGCCCTGGGAAAAAATCTGACCTATAAAGGGCCTCCGCATCGCCGACAAGATGGCTTTGACCATTGTCGTTCCACGAAGAGATGGCAAGAATCGAGCTGTCCTGGTCCAGCAAAGGAGCCGTCGCCTCGAAATAACTGAAAAAGTCCGGAGAAATGTCCATATCGTCTTCGAGCATGATGACCCTGGGATACCCTTTCACATCGAAAAGATGACCCAGTGCAAACTTGTAGTGTTCCGCAATTCGATAATAAGCAATCATCTCGGTAGGACTCTTCATTGCCGGAGGCCGCTCTTCAATGTGCTGTATGTATGAGAAACGGGGCCCATAACGAATCGCCATATTGTGGACCCCCTCATGGAGTCCATCCTGGGAAATGTAAAGAGGAAATTTCTCAGGAGACGTATGATGCATCAGTAGCGACTTCACAGTCCTCTCCAGATAATCTGGGCGGTTGCAGGCCATAATCACCACAGCTGCAATCGGCAAAGAGGCAGAAGAATGGCCTCGATCCTGAACAGCAACTTCTCGGACCCGGTCATCTCTCCCCCATAATTTGCCTGCATCTATCCTCCTCGTGTTTGCCTGCTGCGCAGGTCTATTCTCCTTTCTATTGCCATCTACTCTCGGTTTCAACACAAGAGTCTTCTTGTGCTGCTCTGACTCGTAGTTCTCCGCTACCTCCTGAAGCTGCTTGACGACGTGATTCTCAGAGCCTATCTCACCAGAGAGTCTTTTTATTTGCCGTAATTGCTTATCAGACATCCAAATCAGAAGGAAGAAGAAAAAGACCGCACCTGTAATCAAAATGAAGCGCGAGCAGACACTTGAGCGACCCACCTTTCTTCCTCCTCGAAGTACGCTTCCTCCTCCTCCCCCTCCACCCAAGAAGAGGGCATCTGATGATCCTGACATGTTTTACCGAGACCTAGTAGGTCCAATGGTAAACCTTCATCTGTTAACATAAATGGCGAGGGTTCAATCCCCGAGCAAAGAAATGATGACAACGTATACATGAACGTTACACATGCAAGATATATGTACACATGTACATGAATATATATCGGTGAAACTCCAACGAAACAGTTTGTCACAGCCCCTTGTTAGTTGTCTTCTTCTCCCTCTCTGCCTACGGTTTACCGGACAGCTCTGCTTGACGATATGTATATATATATATAGTCAAACAGAGCTACCCCGCTAAACCCTAGGCAGAGAGGGAGAAGAGGACAACTAACGAGGGGTTTATACTACCGGGCAGCACTGTTTGACCATCAAACGGAACTGCCCGGTAAACCGTAGGCACAGAGGGACAAGAGGGAGAAGAGGACAACAAACGAGGGACTGTGACAAACTGTTTCGTCAGAGTTTCACCGACTCGTCAGGAGGCTAAACCCTTCACCCGCTCTGCCTACAGTTTACAGGGCAGTTCAGCGGGCAGTTTACGAGGGCCTGTTTGACAATATATACATATATGACAGCGACAACCACCTTAATAAAACAAATAACTTCAGAAAAGAAGGAAAAGTGTGTGCACTCTAGTTCTTTGTACAAATGCACAATTTGATGGCGCGCACATTTGTGCCCCACTGCATTTGTCTGGATAGTCATTCGTATGCATCCCAAACGGAGACTAACAAAAAAAACAAAAAGCAAAAAAAACAGAGGCAACATCAGATCCAACGGATCCGCGTTCCGAAAGACTCTCTCCCCATCACGAATACATTTACCGTCATGTTGCGTGTCAACGGTTAACGCAGGAGGAAGAACACAAGAAGGCATAGAATGAAGGGAGTAGTAGTCGAGAGAGATCAACGGTCAGCGAAAACACATCACAGAACAGGCTGCCAGGGGGTTGCTTCGAATGTGCATCAGTCCCGGATTCAGAGGGGGGTGTGCGGCACCGCACACCCGTACAACCATTTGTCTTCACATTTGTGCAGAGGACATACAGCAGCAACCACAACCCAAACACCTGTGTGTGTGAAATGGATTGGAAAAGGAAAAGACGAGAGAAACAAAGTGGCACACAAGGAAAAGACTGCCCAGTGTTCATGCAAACAAAAAAAACACAAAGGCCAAACAGAGAAGAAAATCAAGACTAGCGAAAGGCAGCCACTGTGTGGATGCTTTGCGAAATCCAATGTGACTAAGGCCACCCCACACAGGTGACTGACCCAAAATGCATTGGAAGGTCACAGACACCTGTATTGAGATGGAGACGACAAAGAATCAGTGCATACCTAGAAGGAGCTCAGAGGCACAAAAATGCACAACCTCTCACAAAGAAGTAAAAGGTATATAATGCGACATGACTGCAAAAAGCGCCAACGGCATGAACCCCTCGACACACACACGAGGGGCTACATGCTGACCCAACAATCACAGCCAGCGTAAGATCGCCCCTCACAACGCAGCCACCATCACAGTGGCAAAAGTTATACACTGGTATAATGAGTGCTCTAGTGTTAAGGACTACTTGCACGTTGGGCTTTACGACAGACAAGCAGAATAGGACGGGAAGACATGCAATCACCGCCTTGGGGCTCCACAAATAACGTCGGTGGACGGATGGATTGACTAAGAGAACACCACCTAACTATGGATAGAAGGGGACTCATTATCAGCAGTGCCTCTACGCGGATATCTTGTCCATACTCCCATAGCCAACTCTGTCTTTTGTTTCTTTCCGTCTTTTTTGGGGGGACCATTTCTCGATTTACTTGTGTCATCCCCTTGCGCAGGGGCCATGCTAATCTTCTCTGTATCATTCCCATTTTCATGGGCATCCCAAAGGACAGTTTTTTTTTTTCACTTTTCTCTTTTTGAGGTTGTCAACGTTGTATATTACAGCTGGAAACCGGGTCCAGCATCCCTTGAAAAGAATGAATGACCCACTCCACGCTTCCTTCCATTATGGCTGAAGGACCCTGAGACAGCGGCATCGATTGCTTCGTTTCAGGAAACAATTTACCGTGGCTCGGCCCCTGCAATCTAGTCCCCCCTGCTGTCCCTCCGACCCTGCAATGTAATCCTCCCTTCCAACGCCTCTCCACCGCCGAGGCTGCCAGCGGTTTCCGTATATTGCTAGAGCTAGCTAAGGAAGGAAGTCCAGACAACAAGATTGATCGTAGTGATTTCCGTACATTACGCCGACACCAAACTGAGACTCGAGTTACCTATAGCCGTCCGCATCGACAGCGCTTCCTGGACTGACACTGTGGATTGTCCATCCGTAGACCCCCTTCTCCAATTCCACTTCATGCTACCGGTAGTAGCCCCTCTCAAACCCCAACCTTGCCCGAGTCCAGGACCGTTATCCTGATTTGTCCCCGGTTTCTTGTTCTTTGTCTGGGCATTTCCTGGGTTCCTTTACGGCTCTCCAACAACAGCCCATGATGTTTTCAGTCTCGAGGAGTTACATAAATCCGCCGTCTCGAGCTTCTGCTGCCCTTAATTCGCTGTCTGCCTATTGTTTCCGTACACCTTCTATTCCATAATTCCTTTTCTTTGGAATAGTCTATCCTCGTACTTTAGCCAACCCTTCAGCTCCTATTCTTTCGAATAGTCTATCCTCAGACTATCGCCAACCCTTAGGCTCTAGGAATCCCGTTAGCAGAACAAGGGTATCCTCGGGGATCAAACAGCTGGCCGTCGCCCACAGAATTCAAATCTATTCTTTCGAATAGTCTATCCTCAGACTATCGCCGACCCTTAGGCTTTAGGAATCCCGTTAGCAGAACAAAGGGTATCCTCGGGGATCAAACAGCTGGCCGTCGCCCACAGAATTCAGATGTTTCTTTTCATATAGTCCCTAATGGATCCTCCTGCTAATACTTATCAAATCAACACTACACATCTCCGTGCACTTCCGAGAGCAGCGTCTAAATAAATAGAATTGTAGAGTACCCCTGCAACTCCTCCTCCCCCCCCCCCCCCCCCCCCCCCCCCAAAAAAAAACAAAAAGGACAGAGGGCCTCCCAATCCTCCCAGTTGCCTTGGGCAAAAACAAACATTGGGGGACATAATCAACATGCTGTCCGCCCCTCTGCTGCTTACCTAGCTGCGATGAGACAACTCCCCATGATCATCTATCTTCTCTTTGTTATCATTTAACCGACCAGCCCAAGGTAATTCACAGTTACTTTATTCTGTTCCTCTGGTTGCACCTTGATTCCAACTCAGTTTGTGTTTCCCAACAGCTCACGGGCGTATCAGCTGAGCTACCGTCTTCACCCGAATAGAACGCCCGGTCATTATAGCCGTATTTGGTGCACTTTTCAGTCCAGATACAGCTATAATAACCGGGCGTTCTATTCGGGTGAAGATGGTAGGCTCGTTGGTAGTCCACTCCATTATCTTTCTCGGAGACCGTGGGCAACTAAGTTTTTTTCTGAAAGATAACGATTCCCCTGCAATCGCCACCTTTTATATGGCAAACTCTAGGTTGAAGAGAGTAACTTTTTTTTTTTTCCCTTGTTCTTTCTTGCGGGGAAAGCGCCTGACGTTGATTGATTGTATCCTGTAGGATTTGAACTCCGATGATCTGTTTATCAAAGAAGTTATTACATGCTTGTACCATTCAGCCGCCAGGCAGGCACAGAAAGAGAGAGAGAGGAGGGGGGGGGAGGGGTTCCACTCTTTCTTCTCTCTTTTCTTTTCTTTTCCTTTCCTCTTTATTAAGGGCATCGGCCGTGCACTATTTTGTCTTGTCGAACTCACAACATCGAGCCGGTTTCATTCATCAGATCCAGATTCCATCTGGATTTGAACTCAGGTCTGTATTTCAACAGTTTCATGGCTGTACCAAGCAACTGATCCTTGTCGACAAACCGTTCAGCCAGCAGGTTTGCAATTGGATAGTGAAACACTCACTTTGATAGAAAAGACCGCTCAGCCAGCAGGCAGGCACAGAAAGAGGGATTTTCCCCCCTCTTTCTACTCTCTTTTCTTTTCTTTTCTTTTCCTTTCTTCTTTATTAAGGGCGTCGGTCGGCCGTGAACTATCTTGTCTTGTCAAACTGTCGAACTGAGCGGCCCTCGGGTTATTCAACAACAACGAGTCGATTTTCATCCATCTGATTCCCATCTGGATTTGAATTCAGGTCTGTATTTCAACACAGTTTAATTACTGTACCAAGCAACTGATCCTTTTCAACAAAAAGAACCATAATCAGGTCTTGGTAGCCGGTAATTATCACTGCATCTGGACAGAAAGTTGAGCCAAATGCAGCTATAATGACCGGGCGTTCTATTCGGGTGAGGACGGTAGTTAAAACCACCGGTACCCACATCTGCACAAACGTACTAACAACTTCTTTGTTTGTTGAAATTTTGTTCAAATCCTCCAAATTACTTTTTTTTTTACCTCCAAATTACTTTTTTTTCCCTCCAAATTACTTTTTTTTTCCCCTCCAAATTACTAAATTCTTTGTTTGCTGAACTCTGCTCAATCCTCTGAATCTAAAAATACATAACTGCTGCTTTTTTTTTTCGGGGAAAACACAGTTTTTTATTATCAAATGCAATGCAATATAACTGCTTTTGTTGGTTGTTAAAAACCCACCTGCTAAAGAATCATGAGCAGCGGGTACTGGTTAAATAAACCCCACCAGTACCCTCTCCCCCCTAGAAATCGCAAAATGACCAAGAACAACGACAATGGCCTCCGAGACGACAAGGAGGCCCCTCACCCCCAACGTCTGCCAGTCCCGATCGGGGAAATGCCCAAGCCTCCTCTTCCTCGAGAGGCAAACGGCCACGTGGCTGCCAAAACGACATAAAATGCGCAAGCCTTCTCCTCCTCCTCCTCCTCCTCCTCCTCCTCCTTTTTTCCATTCCTCCATGTCTGGAGGAAAAGAATGAACACAGCTCATCAACACGGTCCCAAAAAATTTGTAAGATATGGTCGTCATCAAAGTGGTGTCATAACCCCAGACAAATGTAAATGTTTATTTATTAAAAAAAAACAAAAACAGGCGAAGGGGGAGAGTCGCGCCCAACTTCCACCTTACCCCAAGCCACAAGAAGCGAAATGCAACGAGCACACGAACAGAACGTCCTCTTCCTCCTCTTACTCCTCCTCCTCCTCCTCTTCCTCCTCCTCCTCCTCACCGTGTCAACAACAGGAGGACAGCCTGTCGGGATCGGGATCGGAGCTAGACCTCAGAAAATGCGTGAGCAAAAGTGAGAGATTGCGAAAAGAAAAGAAAAACAAAAGGGAAAAACAAAAACAAAAACAAAAACAAAAACAAAAAAATGGTTAGAGAAGCGCGGCGCTTGAGACCTTGTTATCGCGAATTCAAAGGTCAACCGCCGTTCCAGGACTTGCTGCTGCTCCGACCCTGACCTGCGCTTCTCCACTCTGATCCGACCTGACCTGACCTGACCTGACCTGACCTGATCTGACCTGACCTGACCTGACCTGACCTGACCTGTATTTCTATGACGACAAGTGTAAAGAAGAGCTTGAGCCAAGAGGCGCTGAGGGGAAATATCCTACCAAACTTTTGCAAAGGTTCGCGCAAGGGGCTCCGTAGAACGAGCGACTACAAGCCGGGGGAGCGAAGGGTGAGAGAGCGGGGAAGGAGGAAACGGCGGGAACGGAGGGCCGGGGAAGGGGCAGGCGGGAGAGGAGGAGGAGGAGGAGGAGGGGGAAGCGTTGAAGAGGACAACGTGGAGATCGAGGAGGGGGAGGAGATGGATAAGGATAGTGAAGGAGGCGAAGGGGAGGAAAAGGTGGGGGAGGGGGTGGAGGAGGAGGAGGAGAAGGACGAGGGGGGTGGAAGGAGCTGAAGGAGGAGGAGGAGGAGAAGAAGGAAGAAAGGGGGGGGGGAAGGAGCTGAAGGAGGAGGAAGAGCAGGAGGAAGAGGAGGAAGAGGAGGAGGAAGAGGAGGAGGAAGTGGAAAAGAACAGCTGCTATTGATCCAGCCCTTGTACGTTGGAGGAAAAGCAGCAGCTGTAATGCAATTGAAAACAAGGATTAGGTCGTTTCGTTTCTCCAGTCCCCACGCAGAGGAGGCAGTCTTTTCATCGTTCTATCCTGAAGAGATACTAAGCGTTGAAGATCACGACCCTTTAAAGATTAGGGTCACGGTTAGGGTAAATGGGTAAATTGAAATGAAAATCAATCCACCATTATCACCTCGAATTAATTACGTACTAATTATAAGCCACAATTCACTTCTACATTTGAAGCGGTTTCGGGGAGAGGGGGGGAGGGTGAGGGGAGGGGGGCGGGGTTGGCCGCCGATGGGACCCAAAAAGACAAAAGCCCACAGTATCGAAAAATAAGGCCAGTAACTCCTCGGGAAGGGCGTCAGCAAAAAAAAGAGAGGGGGGGGGGGGGG